TATAAAGTTCGAGAGAGCCATCGACTGATCATCGCTAGAGTTTCTTTAGGCTTATACCATGATGCTATATGTCCTGCACCCTGCAAAATAAATTTAACCACACTTGAATTTCTTTTTTTTTTTTCTTTTTTTTTTTCAAGTCCTTGTAAGAAATAGCATTCAAACTTTGTCTTGCCTTGATTGTTACAAATGTGAGACGGAAGTCATTCTTCTTGTACCTCTGTGTGTATCTACAAGGGGTAAAGTATATTGCAATTTTGAGAACAATAAAATGATACACATAAGAAAAACAAAAAGAAAAGAAACAAACCCCGCGACTTGGCCATTAACAAGCCAAGGTTTCCAGTTATCATCAATAGTCAAATTGAGAATACGAAACCATGTTAAAGGACCCATATATGGTGCAGCCATGTCCTGGTCAGCGCTGGAAAGAAAAGAAGCATAATTAGACAACATAAACCAAATTTACATATTTGTATATTTTGAGCAAATTAAGTCACAATTTCTATTTAAGAAAGAACATAATATGACTTACTTGTATACCAAAGCATCGTATCCTTTCTTGATCAAAATTTTATGATATTCAAGAGCACCATCTACATTCTCTTCATAGGATATTCCAACACTGCATGTTTCCCACCTTGTTATCATTCCCTAGTGATCAAATACGACTTTAGTGTAATATTTTGATTTGGTTGACAGCTAGCACATGATAACACATACTAAATCCTTAATCTTTTTCTATTTAACGTACTTTTCTAATATAGAGAGCTTCTTGAACAGCCGGATCATTTCCCCAATAATCAGATACATCAAAAATGTTCTGTATTAAAGAAACACGTTCGTGAGAAAATCAGGATGCACGACTAAGATAAAAATAAATAAATAAATAAAAATAAATTACTTTAAGCTTCTTTCTACCGAAAATTTTTTTATAAAGAAAGACCAAGTCTTAACATAATTTGAAGAAAAATAAATCTTAAGAGAGGGTTAATTAAGTTACTTGACACTCTTGTTTTGCTGTTGGGAGGAGGAGATTGTCAATTGAATTGTCTCCTCGAAATGTATGATGCCATCGAAAATATTCATCTAGTTTTGTTGCTGTGCCTCCACAGTTTTCATCCAGAATTCGAACTTGGTTTATATTACTTAAACACTGCCATATTTGATGATACAATGGAACTTTTTTAGTGTTTACAATCATAAAAAAGATTAAAGAAATGTGAAACAAAACAAAAAAATCTGATGCAAAATAAAAAGAAAATGTTACCTCTTGGATCCGTTGAAGGGCATTTGCACATTGCACATTATTTGGATCACGATTGTAATATTTCTCATCACAACTAATTTTTGCTGACTGAAATTGTGTCAAGTAATAACATGAGAATAAGGTGCAATATGTTGCATTTTATCATCAACATTTTTGAATAAAAAAGTTTACCTCATAATATTCATCAGATATAAGTGCCATGCGATGAGCATATGGGATTCGTGCATTAAAATCAATGTTTGTATCCGTTAGTCCATTGCCAATAATGTATCCCTGTTTCAATTTTTAAAGTACCCGACCATTAACACAAAATATATATTTTATAGTATTGGAAAATAAATAACAAGAAATTCATATATTTGTGTGAGCTCGTCAATACTTGGAAGGACATTTGTGGCTGAAGTCGTGCTTCGTTTCCTGCATTATAATCAAGACTAACAACATAATCAAGCTTAATTGGTGGATAAGAAAATATCGAAATAGAATCTTTTAAGTTTCTTTTTTTCATTTTTTATACATACTACCTTGTAGTATTTCCATTGAAACCATTGGAGTAAGTTTGCCTGCATAGGATTCACCCGCAACATATAGGCGATTTTTGATAAACATAGGATGATTCAATAACCACTGCATAGCATTATTTATCAATATATTGTTAGTTCACTAACCTAAAAATAAGGTGGGGAGTACATATATATAGGTGCGAATGTGTAATGAATAGTAGTAAGTTCCACATAGTATTTCATTTCCATTGACTCAGTTTTCACCTAGAATAAAATATCTATGATAAATAATATCGACCAACCTTCCTAAGAAATGTGTAAATATCTTTTGCTGATTTTGTGTCCGAGGAAGAGTAACCTTGTGAATTGTTTGCATATGAAAATCCGGTACCAACAGGTGCATCGATGAATATAATATTGGCAACCTGAAAATTATAAAACCATATTATCAAAGTAGAGAGAGAGAGCCAGGGAAGAAGTACATACATATATGACTTGAAAAATACATGGAAGGAGAGATTTTTCTACCTTGGTCCATGAATTTGGATTTAGGAGAATAGATGGTAAGCTTCCATCAAAATTTTCAACATCAAAAGTAAGCGGACCTACACACAAGCTCACCAGTTAGTGTGGGAATAGTAATAATTACATTTAAGTATAATTTGAAGTAGCAAAATTGAGAAATCAAATAATAGAGTTCTCCTCTCTCGATTTTCACATCCCACTGCAAAAAATTATATCGACGAACATCAACCGGCCATGGATTCGAAATTCCAAATTTGTTTTGACTTTTAGGATTTTGTGAGTTTTTGAGCACTTGTTTAGCTATTTTTTATTATAAATATTTTATAATTTTATTATCTATAATTCTAGCATAGTATTCAAACTTCCATTATTTTTGTATACATAGTTTCATAAAAATATCATTTAATTTTTATTTCTATTTTGTCTCTTCCTATTTTTTAGTTTATTCAAAAGTTCAATTTGATTGTCATTAAATTCGTTTCGTGTTCATTTAGAACTTATTTCCTCCATCGATCAAGTTAAGTCGCCATTGCTTTTATTTTTTCTCAATCGATGTATACAGTGTCATTTTCAGTGTTATCTAATTATGAAATATGACCGTGCATCGAATAAACAATATGATCTTTTTTAGTACATTGTATCACGTTTGATAAGAATAACTTTTATTCTATACAGTGTTTAGCATAAATTGGAAAAAATTACATATTATAAACTAGTATACCACCCCTCTCATTGCCACAATTAGAACGTGCCATCCCATCCCATCCC